TATTCGGGACGTCGGGCATCGCCGGGGATCGCCGGCCGGGGGAAAAGGGACCGTGATGTCGAATTCTGCCGGGCGTTCAAGGCCAGTCAAAGGTCAAGATGATGTCAATGGAGCCGGGGAATATTTCCCCCTTAACTTAAGGCTATAGGAGGGAAATACGGAATTGCGGCACAAATGCTCAAGGCCCTCGACCTACGCTCTTAATATTCGGAGTCGGGGAGCGGGGGCATCACGTTGGACAAGGGCGTGCGGGGAAGTCCAGATATTCAGACATTTTCTGTGAACATGGTCAACGCGACAAGTGCCCAAAACTTTTTTGTCTCAGCGCTGACCTACCATTTTTATCCACTTATATTGCAAAGACCGTCAAATCTACTTTCGCTGATACCGTGCGAAGGAGTAAGTGTCTATAACCTTGACCCGCAAGACCGGTTTAAACATGGATATTGTTGACTGCTTAACAAAGCACTGAACTGCCTTTTGCTATTAGAAGCCCCCTCCACCCAACCCCCACCCTCCCCCCCCACCACCACCACTCACTCGACGCTCTGCCGCTCGACGCATAATCCATGATCAACGCTTATATAGCCGAAGTCATTAAAGTTACACAGCCTTATCGTTTATTACTGTACATACCGGATTTATAGCCAAAGCCTATCAACGCGCCATATTGATCTTTGACCCTTAACCCCCAAATTCGACATCACGAGTCCTTTCCCCCCCCCTCCCGACGTCCCAAATATCAAGATCGTACGGTCGCGCGGTTAAGATTTGTGCCGTAACTGTTGACGCACAGACGCACAGACGGACGAAGATTCATGCGATTCTACAAGCTGCATCTGACTTCGTCAGCTGAGCTAAAAATCATCACACTTTCCAATCACAGAACAGAAACAGTGGACAGCACAAATAGGATAATGGATTACAAACGAAACTGACAGCGACAGTCACCACCCAAATTAATTGCTCGTCACGACCAACCGGAGCAGACGAATCGATCAATCAATATATTGTTCACGTTGACAGGCCAGCTCATCCAATCATTCTTCCACTAACGGGGGTTTGTACACAAGGGAAAACCGTTTTCCAGAACTGGAAAGGTCCATTTTTATGACTGCAGGATATTACCCGAATAGAATCTTTGCCTGATATCGTCCAATCATCGATTAGTAAAAAAAACACTATAGAAGGAAATAGCAAGCATATAAAAGGTGTTATATAAAACAATAAATAAATAAAAATAAATAATATATATATATGCATATATAAGAAAGAGAGAGGGAGGGAGGGGAGGGAGATCGAAAGAGAGAGAGAAAGAGACCGAGGGAGGGAGGGAGAAAGAGAGAGAGAAAGACACACACGCACGCACGCACGCACGCACGCACGCACGCACGCACGCACGCACACAGAGTGAGTGAGAGTGAAAGATAGAGAGCGAGAGAGAGTGAGAGAGTGAGAGAGTGAGAGAGAGAGAGAGAGAGAGAGACAGAGAGAGAGAGAGAGAGAGCTGCTCTACCCATCACTCCTCCACTAACCTTCATCAGGGTGTCGGTGAGATCCTTGAGGAGGTCATTCCAGTGAAGGTCGCGAGCGAGCACATCAAGGTCGGTGAAGGAGAACCAGCCTCGGTCGACTCCCTGCTGCAGAGCTATACGTGCCTCGATGCGATGCAGCAACGCGAGGAACTCACATGGCTTCACGAAGAGATTCCAATCCTACAAGGAAAGGAAGGGAATTAGTCTAAATTTATTAATTTAAAAAATGTTTTTTTTTACAATCTTTTTCTAATAGAAAAAATACAAACACACGGTTGGAGACTCAGAGGCATCGAATTAGAAACAAAATATAGATGACTGCACAGAGTTTGCTTTATTTAATGGGAGTAAAGACAAAAACTAGTAGAGATATTCCAATCCTACAAGGAAAAGCAGTGAATCAGAAAAAACAACAAAGACATGATTGCAGTGTTCGCTTTAAAAATAAGTACAGAGACTCCAATCTTGCAAGTACGAGCCAAGAATTAGAAAAAAAATATAGATGATTGTGCAGTGTTTGCTTCATTTAATGGGAGTGAAGACAGAAATTAGTACAGCGATTCCAATTCAGCAAGGACAAGCAAATTAGAAAGAAAATATAGATGAATGCAGTCTTCACTTCATTTAATCGGAAAAAATCAGGACAAAGATTCCAATCCTGGGAGGACAAGCAGCGAATCAGAAAAAACAACAAACACGTAATTGCGCAGTGTTCACTTTATTTAATGAGAGTGAAGACTGAAGACGAAAATTATCGGTGTATTTCTTTAACACTTTCTAAGAAATGAATGTTGCGCAAGTTTCCTAAATGGGAAAAGATTTCTATACAATGCTTAGAAACAACAGTAAATTGACTACGTCACGAATTTTCTATGGTAAAATTTGCAAAATTTTTGTTGCCATTTTTTTTACATTAAAAGTAAGAACTAACGGGACTAAACGTATCGTCAAATTCTTACCTGATCAGATTGTTTCTCAACTAGTTAAAAATCCAAAAAACCTGAACGATTTGATATTAGTGTTCCTAACATTAATTGCTTGCTATGGGCTATGTATGAGTCACGAGTGTATGTTCACATCGAACAATAATAGTAAAATAAGAAGTATAATTTAATCATAAAAAGTGAACAGAATTACTTATATTTTGTAAAAAAGTGTTTTGTTTTTTAATACTATTTACGGTGACGTAATCACTTAAACACTGAAATGTTATCTTGAAGTCTCTACTACTTACTATAGCCTTAAGGAAGTCTGCCTCGAGTTGGTTGACATCAGCAGTTTCCATTTTCGCAGAAGCAGCCCACTCGTCGTTATAAACTTCCTCATCCTCACCCTCGTCGTACATGAACTTGGATGACACCATCTGATCATGAGAATACAATACGCAACTGATGTATAAAAGAATTTGTACTCGGGCCACAAATTAAAAAAATCTTTGTTTGCCCTCACCCGACCCAGGCTGAAAAGTTTGGGTAGGTAGGTTGGTTTGTTTTTTTGAGGGCGGGGGTCTTTTTACAAATTCAGCCTGGCGTGTACATGCTCGGGTGTGCTTGTGTGGAGATACCTTTTATGTTGAATGTTTCTTTTACTTGGTACATATAATGTATTGCCTACAGATTTATATAAAGTACAATGATACAATTTGTAAAAAAATAAGGAATGGAAAGGATCAATAAATTTTTTTGAGTCGGCCCTTTTTTGGCGGGTCGTTCGGGTGAGCGCAAACAAACAATATTTTTATTATGGCCTACTGATGTACAAAAAGAATTTGTACTCGGTAAAGCAGCCTGGGACAGCACTACAGGGTCGCACTAAGTTAGTTGTCACGGCTCCGTCGACAAATGTCGACGCCTGTGTTAGCAAGAAACAACTAGTTTGTACGTATGGTAGTCTGGTCAGGTTCTTCTAACTTTTCTTATCTCGAAGAAAAATATAAGCAAATGAGACACATCTCCCCACAAACAATACCACCTGTGGACTGTCACCATAACACCAAAGTGACACTATGGACTGCCACAAAAGTTACCATGTGGACTGTGCACTGAAGGCTAAGGCCAATACTAAGGGAAGAGATTGATAAGTGCTATTTCCTGACAAGCCCAGTGCCAGGATAGATAACGCAGGCTAGAAGTGAATCTACAGGCCTATCCAAGTGCGAAACGTACGAGGGCTGTAATGGCCTATCGGGCACACCCTTACCAAAATATCAGACCCGAAAAACCTAGGCAAATGTAGTCACGCTACTGAAGCTACTGAAACCCCATCTCACCCCAAAACTGGAGCACCATACCAAAATATCCGACCCCCCGAAATATGGAATCTGGGACACAGTACTACACGCAAGACCCCTTGAAAGACAGGACCAGAGTAGTACACGCCAGACCATATATATGAAAATCTAGGGCACTTAAATATCAAACAAAAATCTGGCTTACGGTACAGCACAGAAGTAATGTACATTATATATATTTATATATACTAGAGGCCAACAGCCACTCCGTGGCAGCCCTGAAGGGCCACGATGAAGGACCATGATGGAGGAATTGATTAAAATTTTTTTTTTCATAGGGGGACTTATTTTAAATATTGTGCCGGGCGGAGATATATAGTGCCGGGCGGCAACCGCGAGTGCCGGGCACACCCGCCCACCGCCGCCCACTGTGGGCAGAACCCTGCATATATATATTCCAGAACCCTGATATTCTACCAAATTTTAACATGCACTTTGACCTTGTGCCTTTACTCATGCTTATATATCTTGCAAGGAAATGTGGAGCGGTGAACCGATATTTTTTTTACGTACCATTGAAATGAGGAAGAGGTCGGAAGACGATACTTTTTGGAGGTATTCCGTGTCTCGATGTTTCAAGCGTTCAATGTACAGCATTCCTAGCATCATGGCACAGGGACCAATACAAGCTTTCCTGCATGAAATAAATCAACCCCATTAAACTCTCAAAATAAAATAAATGAGATACTTCGAAGGGAGTATAACTTACAAAGACAAAATACCAAACCAAGCAGTCAGGGCAGATTGTAAGCAAGTCTACCATATCTCGGCAATAGCAATTAGAAATTTTGCGTGGAAAAATTGCTATCCACGACTTTTACTCAAGTATATATTCGTATATGTTTTTTAACTGAATAATTCCCAAGAGCTTGCTCAAGGCTCAAGGATTCCTGCTGCACAATATTTGCATGCGAATTTGATCTTCCACGTACAGCTAGCAAAGTTAATAACATAAAGGTGGAGAGTAAGTTAACTCATAGTTAGAGAATTACCGGACAGATAAATTCCAATAGATTTAAATAGAAAACCAACTATGTTATGCCTTATTCTAGCATAAACTATCACTTTTCACCTTGATACAGAAGCGGCAAAGTCTTTGTCAATTTCTCGGAGATCTACCGGTCCATTACTTGCAAAAAATTCAACGGCGATATCTAGAAAACAAAATGAGAGATAATTAATAACCTCACTGCCTACTTTGAGTGTAGACAAAAATCTATAAAACCTGATATTGACAATAAATTACTACAGTCTTCATGCACCAGTTCCGTTGCCATGTCTATACATTGTAGGCCATGTTACATTATGTTTTCAATCATAATAAGAACTTTGCACCGTATTTTTAAACGTGTGGCAACAAAATTAGATTGAATATTCTCGCCCTGGGGCCCGTTGTCAGAAACATAAGCAGTCTTGACATTATTCTTAACATTCAATTCATAAGCAGTTTCTCAGACGCAGTGTATAGAGCTCTAGTCCATACCTGTTACAGCTACAGAGGGCCGATCCATGTCAGGATGTTTTCCAAAGTAAAGTGTCTTTCTTAGTCGTTCTGTTAGTTTCTCGTTGATCACGTCCATCTGAGAAAATACAAAAATAAATATAAAACTGTAATAATTCAATCAAACACAATGGGCATTTTAAAAGCAGGAGATAACTTTTTTCCTAGTTTTAAGAATATGACAACATACAATTTATTAAACATAAAATTGTAGTAATTCAATAAAATACAGCATGCGCATAAAACTTTTTTTAGTTTTAAGAATTTCAGAACCATTGAAGCCCTGTAAGGCTGTAACCTACATGGAAAAGTAGTTTTGTTGGAGATCTACAAATGGCGTAATGTATCAGGTAATGTCACGTGCATTACCTACAACACTAACCTGCATAGTGTTTTAGTGACCATAATGGTTACTACGCGGCAGGATTACAAGCCTTAGCCTGTATATCAGCCTAGGAATGTTCCATAGACAAGAAGTTGGTTTAATTTTGAAAAGGGAAGAATGCTCATTAATACGAATTATTATACAGTATCAATCTATTTTAGACTTTAGCGTTGCACTTAAATTAAACGGAGTGGCTGGGGGTACGGCAGCCGCCGTTCGTTGAAGGGCCTTTTTGGCGTTTGTTTGATGGCTGAGGCAATTATTTGCGATTTTCTGATGTAAAGTTTATAATAATGTTCATTTTCATACCTAATCCGAGTGTTTTCTAGATCATCAGTCTCAAATCGTGAATTTATTTTACAAGGCGGTATTTCGAAATCTGCCGCCATCTTTGTCTCGTTTTGTATGAAAGCGAATGGACTGCCGTACATCCAGCCTCGTAAATTGGATACAGCTGCCGTACCTCCCAAAGATAGAGATGATGTCCAGATTGAGACCTATGTCATTTTCGTAAATGTGGGGGTAGGCCCTTTAAAATCGACACCACTCCCTACACTCCATCCCCAGCCACTGTCTAAATTAAAACACTAAAGCCCGGCGCACACGCGAGTTATTTTACTCAAGTAAAATAACGCATGAGTAATTTTACTCATGTGTGCGACGGATTTTCGTTGAGTAATTTGA